AATAAGAACGTATCCTCGGATGAGAATTGAAAAAAACAACAACATGTCCATTGTGTTTCAATATTGTGCTAAATGTTGATTGTTCCCAATGTTTTTATTGTAACTTTTTAGGGAAATAAATTTCTCATGTGGTGATTTTTGCAGGACGTGGCCTTGTTTGAGATGAATCAGTCTGATTCAAAAGATGAAGACAGTTCTGAAGAGAATTCACAGGCCAGTTCTGAATCCGAGGACGAAGATGACAGCAGCTCTTCTGAAGTCACTGTAGATAACATCAAGCTTCCTCATTCAGAAGATGGAAAAGGCAAGATAGAAGTCTTGGACAGTCCTGCCAGTAAAAAAAAGAAACAGTGAAATAAATTATCCAAGCAGCAGGTGATCTACGCCTGCTAATTCTGTGAAAAAGAATGTGGCTTGCTGGTTATTTTGCATTTCAGGTAGATGGTGCTTTTATGTCACATTGGATGTGTTTTGTTTCTTGGAGAAACAGAAGCTGACTTTTAAGTAGTTGGGATAGGTAGCATTTGGGGATCTTCTAAGAGAAGTCTGTCTTTGACCTCATGCTGAAGAGATTCAGTTTAGAAAGCTTAACTATTTTGGGTGATGAGTGAATTTTTTGGCATCTTTTTTCTTCAGCATAGACTTCAGACATATCGAGCTTATTTTATTTTTATTTTCTTATTGATTTTTTTTTTTTTTTAGAGAGAGAGAGGAAGGGAGAGAGAAACATTAATTCGTTGTTCCACTTATTTACTCACTCACTGGTTGATTCTTATATGTGCCCTGACCCGGGATTGAACTGGCAACCTTGGCATATCAGGATGACGCTCTAACCAACTGAGCTACCTGGCCAGGGCTTCAAACTTACTTTAAATTAAAAATGTGAGTCACCTGTTCATTTTAAACTATCTCAGATAAAACAACCTAGGTCAGTGGTTGGCAAACTGCTGCTCACGAGCCACATTTGGCTCTTTGGCCCCTTGAGTGTGGCCACGAAGTTTCAGTCGCACTGTACGTGCGCGCCTGCATGTGGTATTTTGTGGAAGAGCCACACTCAAGGGGTCGCAGTTTGCCGACCACTGACCTAGGTGGATTTTTTTATTATAACATCAAATTTATTTCTTAGCATCAAAGTGGGGGAGAAATTTTTAAGAGAAATCCTTTTATAATAAAAAGAATTACCTAGATTTAGCTGTCCTCAGGCATATCTCCTCTTATTTAAAAATATATTTGTTTCCAGTTTGAGCTGGGAAGCTGGTTCTCTGTGGGTTTAATCACTGTCGGTACC